GATTGCAACCAACCCATGAACTCATGCATTGTCCTCCAGTGACTATTACTAAATCTTGCTTACTACCTTCTTTTCTGATTGTATATCTTACATATTTTACACTGCTTTCCCTATGTGCAATTCATGGTTTGTAATATGTTATAGTTTATTCATGCTTGCTGGGTGCCTCTCTATCGTCCTTTGAGTGTCCCTCAACCTAAATACTTTGTGAACTATGGTAGTCCTCATCACTGGAAGTCAAAGCATCGCTGGAAATAAGATGGACCTTTGCTATGTTGCATAGTTAACATTAGTATATTCCAAGTCACAATTACACCTCCATCAAGAGAAGTTACTGTTGCATTGAAGTGGCTTTGGTAGGGGAAGTAGGGTTAAGGCGAAAAAAGTGAAAAAAAATAAAAAAACTATAACTCTTAAGTAGTACTATTAAAGGGCACAAGCAATAGCTTGCTTACATGGTAGCTTTGACATTTAGCCCTGCTAGCAAAATCATGGATAGGGCACCTTGAATTGGGCCTCGTGCAAATGGAGGAGAGAGCTCTATGAATTGATGCTTTAAAAAAAAAAAAGTGCTGTGTCCTATACAGTTCCCAATCTCCCCTGCTATTATCAGTCACCACGGCAGGACTGCCTGCACTCCACTTTTCACATATACCTAGCAGGATATATGCTGCCCCCTTGTAACTAATGCTTGTTTCTCTTTAAGGCAGCTTTATCTTTATTTAATCTTATTTTACTTGAATGCTAATGATGGTTGGAATGTATAATAGTTCTTTCAATAAAATTTATTAATCAAAAATTAAGTGATTATTTTTCAGGCTCTATGCTTTTATGTGCTGGGGATTCAGGTACAAATAATGAGATAATCCCTATTCCCACATTCTAATGGTAGAAACAAGTATATATAAGATACATATATACAGCATAAAGTTAGTATACATACACACCAAGTATGCAAACTCTAAATATAAGCAAATTTAAGATCAAGGCACTAGCATTTGGGATCAGGAAAGGCTTTAAGCAAAGGTGGTTTCTGAGTTGCATCTCAAAAGAAAAGACAAAACTCAATTATATGTAAGGGGAGTGCATTCCAGATAGAGGAATGGCCAGAACAAAAGCACAAGGCAGGCGATAGTGTCAGTTGAGAGGAGGAATGAGGAAATAAATTTGGCTAATTTGTCAATTTTAGGGGGGAAAATAATTACCAGTGAGACTAGGAAAGATAGGTTAGAGTCAAGAAATGTAGGACTTTAAAAGCTAAACAGCTTATATTTTATCTTAGAGACATTAGGAAACCATTGGAGTTGAATAGAGGAGTCACATCGTCAGACCTGAACTTAATAGAATTTACTTTGGCAGCAATGGATTGAAGTGGTGAGGTTAAAAGTACAGAGATCAATTAAGAAGCTATTGCAATAATCTCGATGAGAGGTGATGAGGGCCAGAACCAAGGTAGTACCAATGGGAGGGGAGAAAAGGCATCTGGATTTGATAATGTGAGAGATGTGAAGGCAGAAATGACAAGATTAGGCTAACTGGTTGGATAGGTGGGGTCAGAGAGAGTGAAGACAGCAGGATAATGCTGAGATTATGAATCAGATGCTGGAAAGATAGTGGTGCCCTCTACAGAAATAGGTTTGTTGAATTCAGTTGTAGACATCGTTTAAGTTCAGTCTAAGACTTCTAAGTTTCTAGAAATATATGAGAATAATACCTGCCCTACTACCTCACAATAAAATTGTAAGGATGAGAAGATATAAAGGTTAGGAAATGCTTTAAAAAGTATAACTATACACATAAGATAGTATTTTTTGAAACCAGCAGATACAGCAACTAAATGAGAATCTTAAAGACTTTGCCACCTTTGTTAGGGTATTGTAAAAAGTTCTGTATTTGTAGTTCTAGCCCAACACCCTCCACCCCCTTACCGACTTGCTCTGGGACCAAGAATAAGTCACCTTAGCTTTGTTCATTTGCAAAATGGAAGTAAATACTGGTCCTCACTACTTCAAAGAATTATTGAGGATAAGATGAGATAATGTGTATAAAAGCACTTTGCAATTTAAAAATACTTTACAAATGTGAAATATATTTTTATTTCCTTAGAATCACATATTTATCATGTTTTCCCAGTTTTCAGTTATTTCCAGTGGGAAGCTGAATCACGAAATTAAGGGCAACCTGTTGTACTCTGTTCACTCAGTTACCACGATCTCTTCCCTTCAATTTAGTGAATACACCACTTTACACTTGTGAACAATATAATCTTTAGTTTTTCAAAATCTGTGTATTTCTCTTTTGATTACATGGATTTCTCTGATCATCTTTTTTTGTTTTTAATTTAACAATGTTTAATAGAAAATGCATGAAATAATGGAAAGAGCTTTGTTCTAGGAGGGTAGGGCATTCCTGTCTGAGTTCTGCCAAGATTACTAGCTATATGACAGAATAGTCTCAGTATCCTTATCTGTAAAATGGGGGAGGGGCTGGGTTGTGCTATAATCTAGCTGCTAGATGTTCTCTAAGGTCCCTTTCAGCTTACATTTTATGATTTTTTAGTGATAAATCTTAAAATTAAAAAAAATTGTTTATGGACCACTGGTGTAGGAAACTTCCAGAGTGGAAGCCGCCCCCTTCCCTCAACCAATGTAGATTACCAAGTGCTGTGCTACATCAACCCATATGATCATTTGGGGGGCACTGAGAAGGTAGGCAACTGGCTCAAAGTCACGTCAGTGTGGATCTATTATTTTTCCCCTTTTTTTTTTTGTGAGGCAATAGGGGTTAAGTGACTTGCTCAGGGTCACACAGCTAGTGTTAGGTGTCGGAGGTCGGATTTGAACTCAGGTCCTCATGACTCCAGGGCTGGTGCTCTATTCACTACACCACCTAGCTGCCCCTCCCCTTTTCAACATATCCACTTTCCCCAAGTGTTCCTAACGCCAAGACTTTATCAATCATAACCTTCTGTCTAATAATATTACTCATAAAGGTTCTAATATGCCTGATGCCTAAATATATTTGCATTTCTATGCACCTCATTTACCAAGAGAACGGAAAAGTGTGACGAGCTGTGTGCCAAGTGTAAACTTGGTTCATTAATGATCTGTCAGTTATGGTGAAATCCCTTTTGGCTACAGGCATTGTTATTTGTACTTCCCCTGCCAACCCGGCTTCCATCTGAGTTCAACTCGTTTTACTTTCCAGCCAATCTCTAGAGAGACATTGAAGGATCTATGCAAATCTGATGGTCAACAGAAAACATCAGCCGTTGGTTATGTAAAAATATAATCCGACAACTGAAGGGAGCATTGGACGGATAATGACCCTGCCTTATGGTGTGCCTACATTCATTAATGGGGCTTAGGGGAAACCTGAGTGGGTCGGTCAGTTTCAAAAATACCCAGGCTTAAAATTTTTTTTTTTAAAATACCTAGTCTTAAAAATATTTCCCTTTACCCACTAATATAAAATACTACCTTATTCCCTTCAATTTCTCTCGCCACAAAATTATCCTTTTGTCCTCTTAAATTGTAGAGGACTTCAATAGTAATTGTAAAATGTAACGCCGATCTGCATTAGCAGCGAGAATTAATTCCCTCTGTCAGAGAAACCACAGGCTCAGTCTCTCTTCCAATTGCTCTAATGCCTATAGCTCTTAGTCTGAACCATATAGTTTAAAAAAACTTGATTTAATTTTTTGCTTGTATTCTCTAGTGTTGTGTTTTCAGGGCTTCTGTGAAAATCTCACGAATAAGAGAGCTTCCAAAAAGTTTTAGTTCATTTTCAAGCAAAAAAAAAAAAAGCACTTTTTTTGGGGGGGACGCTCTGTAAGAGGTGGATTTAGAACAAATCACTTAAGTGGTCCCGTTCCTTCATTCGTTAAACCAGGGGACTGGACTATAGGTCTTCCCAAGTCCCTTCTATTCCCAAATCCCAAGACTCGTTGACGTTCTCCAGCTTTAGCTCTTGTTACACCTTCCCCGCTCCCCAATTTCCTCTCCTAATGGCCAACGAGCCTCTGACAGCGGGTCTCCTCTGCTGGGGGCACCCCAGCTGCGAAAGAAAAGGAAACAAACCCGAGGAAACTGGGACAAAGAAGCCCGTGGGACTGGGGGCCAGAGCATCCCCATCCACAGAGGCAAGCCCGAGACACTCACTACCTACCGAGCAACGGAACGACCCCGACCCGAGTTCTCGCAAGGCTCTCTTCCCTAGCTGGGGGGCTTGGAACGGGGCACTATCCTTCTTTGGCCCTCCCCGTCCTCACTTGTAAACTGACTCCTGCACAAGCCCTGAAATCCCTTACACCTTTAAAAGTCCATCCCTCTAAGCCACTGTTGCCCCACTCTGGCCGCCACCCGCTGCCTGGCCCAGGTGCCCGCCCCAGGTGCCCGCCCGCTGGGGGCGGGGCTGAGGCGCTGGACTGTTGGAAGCCGGGCCGGAAGTAGGTGTTGTGGGGGCGGGGCGGGGCAGGGCCGGGGCGCAGGTTCGGTAGGAGCGAGGCCCGGCTTCAAGATCAGTAGCGGCAAGGCCTGGGCATAGATTCTGCTTGGGTGGGGCCGGGCTCGAGGCGCAGGCTCAGTGGGAGCGCGGTCCGGGTCCAGGTTTAGCAGCGGCAAGGCCTGGGCATAGATTCTGTTGGGGCGGGACCGGGGCACCGGTTGGTTGGGGGCCCCGGGCATAGGTTCTTTGGGGGCGGGGCCGGACCCAGGGCGCAGGCTCAGTGGGAGCGGGGCCCCGGGTCTAGATTCTGTTGGGGCGGGACCGCCGCACCGGCTCGTTGTGGGCGGGGCCGTGGCCGTGGTGTAGGTTTCCGTTAGGGCGGGGCCGGGCGCAGGCTCGGTGGGGGCGGGGCCCGGTGCGGGCGTGATGGCGGGGCTGACGTGGCGGCCCCGGGTTAGCGAGCGCTAGCCGCTGCGCGATAGGGGAGCGGAAGGCCGGGCTCGGCCCTCCCTGCCCGGCCCCAGGCGGCAGCGGCTGAGCTGTATAAAGCCGGCGGCTGGGAGAATGTAATGTCGTTATGCGGAGGCCGCGGTGGCGGCAGCGGCGACCAAGACGGCGGGGACGGCGGCGAGGGCTCCGGGGGCTCCGGCGGCAGCAGCGGCGGCTCCTCCAGCCCAGCCCCTCCCGGCCCCGCGGGCCTGCTTTGCCGGCGGCTGCGCGGCGCCTCTCTGATGGCCCGGCGGAGGCCCGAGCTGCTGTGCGGGGTAGTGGCCGTGGGCTGCGCGCTGCTCCTGGCCCTCAAGTTCACCTGCAGGTGAGGCCCGGGGCTGGGGGCAGGCAGAAGCCGCGGCCGCCCCGTGACAGCCGGGCCGGAGCGGTAGAGCGAGCTACAGAGGCGCTGCCTCGCTCTCGTGTACCTTCATCAGGCAGCATGTGGCGGCAACGCTGGGTTGGGTCGTGAATGACTGACCAACAGGCGGCTCCGACCGGGCGTGGGGAGCCGGAGCAGGTCCGGGCATCTGGCTGCCGGCCGGACCATCCTCAGCGGCAGGGAGAGGGGGACTCACCTGCCTGCCTGAGACTCAAACGGGCTAGTCGCCCTGTCTGCCTCTCACCTTCTATCACCCCGTCTCTATCCTTCTTTCTCTGTTGCCTCCCTTTTTCTGTCCTCCTCCATCTGTCTTCCTGTTACCTTTCCTTTACCTCCTTGTATCTGTCTCTCTATTGCCTCTCTTCTCTTCCCCCCAGCCCATCTCTGTCTCCCTGTTACCCTCTTCTGTTACTCTCCTGTCTCAGTATCCCATCTCTTTCTCTATTGCCCCCCTCCATATGATGCCCTCTTCTCTTTCCCCCCCTTCTGTTGCCACTTCTCTGTCTCTATTACTTGTTTTTCTCAAAACCTTTATAGCCTCCCTCTCTCTTTTGACTCCCTTTCTTTTGCCCCTCTTCTGTTACACTCCATCTCCCTGCTGCCTCTCTGTCTCTCTCAGTTGCTGTCTCTTTCTCTCTGTGTTGCCTCCTTGCTTCTGTTTCCCCCATCTGTCTCCCTGTTGCTCTCAGTCTCTGTCGTCCATCTGTAACTATCTCTTTGTTGCATGTGTCTTCCTTAAATCAGGAACACAACAGGTTACCCTTTGCTCTTCCCTCTTCTTGTCATCTTGTCATCACTCGATTTCCCTTCCCTCTTCTGAACTTTTCTTTCCATATGGTGAATTAAGACTTGAATGGAGGAAGTAGGGGTTCTCAAGTTTGGGGAAGTAGAAATTCTGTACTTTGTGTCCTAGGTTTCTTATAATAGTGAGACTGTCAGACTTCTAAACACTTGGTCATGTACATTTGAGATGGATGGGGATGCTTCTGTATTCTTTTTTCCATGTCAAATACCAAGTATTCCTAGGTCCACTCTTCTCTCCACTATCATGCCTTCAGTACCCACTTGTATAATCTTGGTCATTATGTGCCAGGCGCTGCACTTAGCCTATGTTCAAAAAAAGAGAAAAACAGCCCTTGGGTTCAAGGACCTTCCATTCTAGAAATGTAAATAACCAGGTACATACACGATATATGGAAAGTAATCTCAGAAGGGAAAGACTGAAAATGTGGGTGGAGGATAAATGACACCAAGGACTCCTGAAGAAGGTAGGATTTGAGCAGAGCCTTGAAGGAAGCCAAGGTGCTTAACTTCTCTTTGTTTCCTGTTGGCAAAAATGAGGTTTAAGGATGCTTGCCCCCTTTCAGCTAAAGATATAATTTTGAAACAATAAATGCTACAGTGGAAAAGAAGCCATTGGCTTTGGACCCAGAAGACATCAGGTTCAAATCCAGAAGGTGAGGACTAATATTTGTATGCCCTTGGGCATGTCACCTGATCTCCCTGGGTGTTGGGTTTCATCTGTAAGATAAGAAAGTAGTACTAGGTGGTATCTGAAGTCCCTTCTAGGTCTTAATGTATGAGTCTGTGAAAGCACTTTGAAATAGGAAGAGGAAAGGTGTGATATAGATCAGAGGAACCATGTCATAACAGGCATTTTAAAAAATGCCTTTATATCTAATCAGCAATTTTTATAATAAAAAATTAGAATAAATAAGTATCTTAATTCTTTTTTATTCTGGAAATAAATTCAGTAATGCCTCATTTGCCAGCATAATCCAGGAATCCTATGTGTTGCACACACGAATTGTTTAGGGAACTGAATAGCTCATTTTTTAAAATTTTTAAAAAATTATATGATTTAACCATTTTTGATGGAAATCATCTGCTAAAGTCCTTTTCCAAAGTCTCATCATAATGTGGAAGTTACAGTGTGTTTTAAGGCCATGTCAGCAGAGCACAAACTCTGACAAGCCTTACTAACCTGTAGCAGCTTCGAGTATGGGCCCAGCAATGGACTATATCTAGATCTGTGTTTCAAGGCCCAACTTAGGTAGGTTCAAAAAAGTTACATTATCAGATTGGTTTCAGTGATAAATTTTGCCCAACAGCAGCTCTTGAAGACCATCCACTTAGTTGTGGAGTATTTAAGACCTGCCTTCTTGAAGGGATTACTGACAAAAAGGAAATGTCAGATCCCAGAAGTATTGATAGAAATACCTTAATACAAATGTATTACTATATTTCCCTGCCTCCCTAAACAGAGTATAATGAATGTAACCAACCATGTTTTGATAATGTAGGGTAACATCAGTTATTTTACTGTGCTATAATAAAAGAATTGGTGTTTGGGGAACATTTGTTTGTATTTTAAGTGGCAGACTTGTATGCCTTTTGAGTTCTTATAACCCCTTATAGTTTTTCTATATCTTCTCTTGATTTCTGGCAGTTATTTCTCAATTCTCAGGGACTCTGCCTTTAATAGCACCATTTCATTGGTTAAGTATGGTTTTACAAGCTACGTGATCAAATTTGTCATAATTGTAAAATAAAGATATCATCTGGGAGGGCTTGAAAGGGGTGCTTCTAGGAGTAAAGTACATACAGGCTTTTATAACACTTATTTTGACTACCCACAAACCATTTTGAAATTTTGGAATTGAGAATCAGCAAATATTTATTAAGTATGTATTAGGCACTGTGCTAAAATCTGGGGAACTTAAGTCTGAGTTATATGTAAGTGGGGAGTTCTGTCTATTGAAAATACTTCTTTTCAATCTTGAAACACAATATCTTGTATCTGGAATGTTGTATATTCGAATGTAGTCTTGCCACCAATTTTAATCTAATTCTCACTGTAAAGGGGTTCTATATACTGAACTTTCTCAAGTTTCATAGGAATACTGTTTGCAGAGATGAACATGTGTGACAAAAATGTAGTTCTTTTATTATTACATACTACTATAATGTTTGTAGTACTGGCATTTTGTAATTAATTAACCTCTTTTCATTTTCTGGGATAGTGTCTCCTCAAGCTATCTTCATTGTCAATCTTGATTCTGCTTAGCATGTGTGAGAGAAGAATTTAATGGTGTTAACCATTAAAAACTCTTCTAGCATCCTAGAATCTATGGAGGGAGAAAGGAATGAAATATTAATCATGTTACTTAATTCCAAAGAATCATTTATTGATAATATTAACACACTATGTTGCCAATATTGACTTTAGAAGATTTGTGATGAAGCATGCCTCTTTTCTTGACAGAAAGTAGTGGAACATAGGTGTAGAACCAGGCATATGTTGTTAAACTTGGCCAATATGTTTGTTGTGCTTGGTTGTAAACCTTTGTTACAAAGGAAGTTCTCTTGTGGGAGAGAGTCATTTGGAAATGACAACAATGTTGTTGGTTTTTAAAAAAGCATCCATAAAACATTAATTTTTTTAAAAGTAACATACTATTCTCAATTACTACTTCAATATAAAATATTAGGTTGGTTAGTGACAGTGCCTCTCCATGACCTCATTTACTCATCCCAATTGAGGACACCTTTTTAAAGACTGAATTTATTTTAGATTTTTTGAAGCTAAAGTTTATTGAAAGGAAATGTTCTAATTGTTTTTTTTTTGTGGTGGGATTTTTTTTTTTAGTCGTGCAAAAGATGTGATAATACCAGCAAAACCACCAGTAAATTTCTTCTCTTCAAGATCTCCTGTCCTTGACCTCTTCCAAGGACAGTTGGACTATGCAGAATACATTCGTCGAGATTCAGAAGTGGTGTTGTTGTTTTTCTATGCTCCATGGTGTGGACAGTCCATTGCTGCAAAGGGAGAAATTGAACAAGTAGCAAGCAGGCTTGCAGACCAGGTAATGCCAGTGAAGGTAATTTGGAAAAATAACTGTTCAAGAATCAAAATTTTAAAATTAAAGACCATGGAGATAAACTTGCTTTCACTTTATTAAAAAAAAATTTGTGTCAGTAGTTAATCCAGCAGCAATTAGGAGGACAGAGATACCATTGGATAGTTGGGTTAAAAGAAGGGAAGGGAGATCTACCATGAGTAAATTAAAGATTTTCTGTAGTTCTCTAGATTAGAACTCCCTACGTGTTCTAAATTGGGGGAAAAATGCATTTTCCACAAGGAAGAAAGCTTAATGTGGGACTACTCCTACTACCATTTTGCCTATATACGGTGTTTGTAAGTTAAGTATTTATAAATAAAGGACTTCTGTGCCTCAAAATATGTTGTACTTTCAAAAGTCCCCTTGCATGGCTGTGCATTATAATGATGCTACTATTCTTGAAATATTGTTAAAACTTTTTTGGAATTGCCTTCAAGGTCTTAGGAACATTGTTTGGAATACTCAGTGGTAGCAATTTGTTGTCTTTTAAAAATGGATTTGATTTTTGGAAAGTTAAAAGTCATTTAAAAATCAATCAGCATTTATTAAATACCTGCCATGTGTCAGGAACTGTGCTAAGTGCTGGGGATACAAATACCAAGATGAAATAGCCCCTGCTATCCAGGAGCTTAAATTCTATTGGAGTGATGTATGTAGGTAGGTTGTAATTTGGGAAGAGAGAAGGCTGGGGAGATCAAGAAAGGCTTCATGTAGAAGGTGGTGCTTGAACTGAGTATTGAAGGAAACCAGAGATTCTGAGAGGCAGAGGTGAGGAGGAAGTATATCCAGAAATGAGGGAAGGGGAAGGTGGATGGACCAATCCAGGGGTGGGGAACCTGCGGCCTTGAGGCCACATGTAGCCTTGTAGATCCTCAAGTGTGGCCCTTTGACTGAATCCAAACTTCACAGAACAAATCCTTTTATTAAGTAAATACAAAAGCTTGGAGACAGGCATGGAACATCCTTTGAGGAAGAGCAAGAATGCCTGTTTGGCTGGATAAATTTGGTGTGAGTGAAGGAGATTAATGCATAATAAGGCTGGAAAGGTAAAGGTTGGAGACAGGTTGTACCAAAGTGGTGAGTGAAGTTAGGTGATCACATTGAATAATAATAGTCCCATTTGTAAGTTCTAGTACCTCCATTTTTGGGAAAGGGTCTCAAGGGAAGGGGAATGAACCATCCTTCATTTTCTAGACTTAACCATTATACTCTTACCTGCGTATCTTCCTTTTCTCACCCATTCCCTTTTACGTGTTACTTTCCCTCATTAGAATGTAAGCTCCTTGAAGTCAGGGACTATCTTTATTTTTGTTTATATTTGCATGACTAAAAAATATGTGTCTGTTAGCAAAGTGCTTAGCATATGGTAAGAGCTTAATAAATGCTTGCTAACTGACTGGCTTTTGGACCAAAGAATGATCTTGATAAAGCAATGAAAGATTTTTTGTTAAATGGGCAAAACAATTCTTTTTTTAAAGTATGTTCCTAGTAGAAGTTTTTTGTAATCTCAAACACAGTTTTATGTTCTAATGTATCTCCTTGGTAGGAGATGTATTCCTGTTTATAGGAGATTTTAATGTAAATATATTGAGGAAATCTGATCAGAACTAGCTTAGCTTTTAAAGATAAGACCAGTGGTTTATTAAAAACAGTAGCAATTCTTCTCTGGTCTACCAGGGTCTAAAATGAATGTTCTTTGAGTGCTCATTTAGGACATGTATGTTTCATTAGTTTTCCACAAGTATTTGGTCATGAAACTTTATTATTCTCTGCCAGTTGAGGGGCAGAATATTTTCATTTTTTTTAACTTCATCTTTAAAGATTTTCTTTTCAGATGTTCTAATTCATAGTTACTTGAAAACTGTTGTTGTTCTACAGGTGTTATTTGTGGCAGTTAACTGTTGGTGGAACCAAGGGAAATGCAGAAAACAGAAACACTTCTTTTACTTTCCTGTAATATATCTGTACCATCGGAGGTAAGATTTTCATGTACAGTTCAATTGGAATTAGTTTTCTAATATCAAGGTTAGTTTTGATAATGTTTTGAGACGGTAAAATATATGGGCATATATCCTGCATAATGTTACCCTGACAACCTTTCACAGTAACATCATTAGTACATTTTACAGTTTCTTGCATGTAATATATGATTAATAATTGTTTAATTGTAACCAAAGCTGTCTGTAATATTATGAAACTCTCTTGTAATGTCATTTGGCCACTTGTCCATGATACAAATCTGATGGTGAGAGAAATCTAAGACAATGCTCGAGCTCAGTGATGTTATCTTTCATGGGCATCATTATATTTACCATCCCATTTATAACAGTTTCTTTGCAACTAACTGTCCTTGTAACGTTGTTTATGATAATTCTGTTTTTTGAAAAGCACCAAGTAATATTAGGATATCTTTATGGAAATTCTAATCCTTCTGTCTGGGAGTGCTGTTGTGAAAGTGTTTTGTAATGCTTTCTGTTATACTTACTAAAGGCTTAACTGGTATGGAGCTTATTGTTGAAGGTGGTATGCTTAAAAGTAAAATTGAACTGGCAGATCTTTTTACTTTTGTCCTGATTTTTTTCTGCTAGTGAAAGTTTGCTATTTCTTAGAAGCAAAGTCTCTTTTAAAAATACTGAGTATTAATTTGGTATTTTTCATATTTGTATACTTAAGGTTTAAGCATAACTTTTTGTTTTTAAAAAAGAATGTTCTATGGAACATTACTGTTTTCTGAAGAATAATAATAAGTGATAGATGGGTTCATTACCTCTCTCATCATTTCTCTTTAGCTATTTAGTCATACAATTAAATTTGTAATATGGTTTGGCTACAGTTTTATTTCGAGGCTGTTGGTCAACTTTATTTTCTTGGTCCAATATTTTGAGTCCTGCCTGAACTTTCAGATTCAAGTGCAAATAAGGAGTGCTTTCTTAGGGGAGAGTTTGTTAATCAACAAGCTTTTATTAAGAACTTACTATGTACCAGGCATTGTGGTGAGAGTATGCAAACAACTTTGTACATATAAGATGAAAGATAACCTCAGAAGGAAGACACTAGCGGTGGGTGGATGCCAGGGGTAGGGGGAATGAGTAGGGACAGAAACCCCAGGAAAGGTCTCTTATAGAAGGTAGCATTTGAACTAAATCTTGAAGGAAACCAGGAGTCAGAGGTAAGGAAGCCCTGGTCAGACCTGTGCTTTGGAAGAATCACTTTGGCAGCTGATGGATTGGAGAGGAAAGAGATTTGAGGTGGGAAGACCAATCAGAAGACTATTGCAATAATTCATGCGTGAGGAAATGAAGGCCTGTACAAGGATGGTGGCAATGTCAGTGGAGAGAAAGGGATATATAGGAAATATGTATGAACATGAAAATGACAAGTCTTGACAATAGATTGGATATGTGAAATGAGTGTGAGAGAGGAGTTGAGGTTGGCACTGAGATTGCAAGTCTGGGTGACAGGGATGATGATGGTGCCTAAATTTCTGTGAGAAAGTTTGGAAGAGGGAAGAACTTTAGGGAAAAGATGAGTTCTTTTTTGGACATACTGAGTTTTAGATGTCTTACAGGATCTCTACTTCAGGATGCTCAAAAGGCAGTTGGTAATACAGGACTTCAGCTCAAGATGGAGGCTAGAGTTGGATAGATAGATGTGGGAATCACCTGCATAAAATTGTACTTGAAGCCATGGGAGCTGGTGAGATCACCAAGCCACAGTGAGAAGTACAGGGTAAGAAGAGAAGAAGACCCAAGATGGAGCTTTTGGGTGTGACCTAGATGAAGATCCATCAAAGTGTATCAAATCTTAAAGGTAGAATCCAAGGTGTGATACTTAGACTACTAAGTAATTATTGCTTAATCAAGACTTAGCAATAAAAGTGGAGGCTGAATTGTATAGATTTGTAATCTTTCATGTGAGAGCTATGTATGAGTTTCTGTAACAAGCTTAATAACTTAACCTGTTATAAATGTTGTATTAATAATAATTAATATTTACATGACACTTTCAGAGTTTGCAAAGTACTTTTCATGTAGTACCTCATTTGAGCCTCACAACAACCTTGTGTGGTAGGCACTGTAGGTATTAGTAGGTATGGAATCAAAAGATACCATGTTTGTAAAGTTCTTAGCACAGTGTCTGGTGTGGTACTATGTAAATATTAATTCCCCTCTCTTCTCTTCCCCTTATTATTAACTACATTTTACAGATAAGGAGGGTTCTAAGGCTTGAAGAGGTTAAATGACATATATGGTCACATAGTAGTGGTTGGGATACTAGAGGTGGGATTGGAACCCCAGGTCTTTTTTTTTTTTTTTAAACTTTACATTCAGCACTGGATCCACTCTGCCATACAGAGTCAAAATAGTTCAGTTTTGAATAAATAGTATGGTTGTACTCATTACCTTTTATAATAGATTCAGAGTTGGAAGGGACCCTTGGTTGAAACATGAATTTCTCTACAACATTTCCAACAATTGTTCAGAGTCAATATAACTACAAAACTACTTTCATACCATATAAGAGTTCTTAAAAACCTTAAGAACCAATCATCTTCTTTTTTATAAACTTTTATTGTTGTTGTTTAGTTGTTTTAGTTGTATCTGACTCTTCATGACCCTATTTGGGGTTTTCTTGGCAAACACACTGGTGTGGTTTGCCATTTCCTTCTCCAGCTCATTTTACAGTTGAGGAAACTAAGGCAAACAGGGATAAGTGACTTGCTCAGGTTCACACAGCTAGTAAGCATATGAGGCCAGATTTGAACAGGTGTTTCTGACTGATTCTATATAGTTACTTCTACAAGTAACCTGCAACTGAAGATCTCAGGCTTGTTTATTTGAAACTAGATTGTCCAGGGCCAGGGTGGCTGATAGCAATTGCAAATAGAGCTCCTGAGTACCTAAGAGTACTAGTGTCAATATTTACAATGAATCTTGTAGCAACAAGTACTCTGTTTTATATGTGTGTGTGTGTGTGTAAGAAATTCTTATATATATATGAGAAGTTTTCTGTTTTATTACAGCAGAAAAGCATATTGCTAACTTTGAAGGTGCTCTGTAAATGCCACTTACCTGGATTTCTTCTCCGTAAAATGGGTATCATAATACCTCTACTACTTACCTCCCAGGGTTGTTGTGCACTTGATGGTATTAAATGCAACGATTTAAATCAAGCTGAAGCAAGGACTTGTTTTTCAAATTATTGCCTGTGAGAATTGCCCTTGGAGATAGTTGGTCCCATGGTGTGGTAAATTTGGTAAAACAAATGCATACCTTGCATTCTGCAGTTTTGAAATAAGGCATCCAGATTGTTCTTATATACTGTTAGACCAAAAAAAAAAAATGAAGTGAAATCTACCAACTTGAAAAGATATTTCTAGATTAGATGGGAAGTTGGTGTTGTTATAGCATGCTATTTCATTTTAACATTTCACTTTTTTCAAATTGCTGTTTGGAAAGGCGAGCCATAAACTTATCCAACTTACATGAAAGCAGTTAATAGGTCTTCATATTTGTGTAAACTCGTGTTTGAAGTGAATGTTCTAAGTCTTCTTGTGATACACTTGGAATGATATTTTCATTTAAAAAAATTTTTGATGCACAGAATGTATTTAATATGGCATTATTTTATATAATGCTAGTAACAAGTCTGTGTACTCAGTAAATAGTTAGAATTCATCTTGTTATAAAATTACTTTGTTTTCTGGTAATAAAAGTTACAGTGTGATTTCATCATATAACAGTGTGTACACTAATACATCAATCTGTATTGTTTACTTTAACCTATTAACTTTTCCCTCCCAATTTGTGTTTAGTCAGTGGAAGGGCTGTGGGATTGCTGACTTTAAAGGTTCAGAGTCTTTAGTTACATTAGATGAGTGTGTAAGATTTATGATAGCTGTGTGAAGAGACCAGGTGTAGTCTAGAAAAGTAGGTTGTTGAGTAATTATACTTTTAGTACATGCTAAAACATAATAAGAAAAAATAGAGGTCATTAAAGTTCCATGATTGAATGCTAGAATTAATTTCACTTTTTTTTTTGTTTTGTTTTGTTTCAGCAAAACTTTAGATAGTAGGCCTTTATCTTGGCCATTCTATGTATGTAGTTGCAGAAGTATCTACTAAGTGCTACTATTTATTAGTTTATTTGTTGATTATTCTTTAGTTCAGAATGTGTTGTAAAAGGAAGATTTGTGTCTATTTTATTGAGCTTTATTTATATATTTCAAAATCATTGTTAGTGTGTACTATGTTGCACAATAGCTAGGATTCCTTTAAGAGGGAACATGGCATGGTGGATAAAGTATTGGACTTGGGATCAGTAATACCTAGGTTTAAATTCCACCTCAGACACCTACATAGTTATGTGACCTTGGGGAAATCTCTTAATCACTCTCTGATCCTGTTTCCTTGTCTCTCAAATAGGAATGATAATGATAATAATACCTACCTCCTGAGGTAGTTGTGAGAATCAAATGAGAAACTATGTAAAATGTTATACAAACCCTTCAAATGCTATATAGGTGTGAACTGCTATTATTTCTTGGTTACGTAAAGTAACTTGGCATTGTATATATTTTGTTTTTGCTTCGTTACATTACTATAAAAATTTTAAATAAAATTTCTGAAAGGGTGCTATAAAATCCTCCTTCCTTGGAACAATTAGTTGGTTATTTGCCAGTTCTCTATTTCTTTAAAGGTGAAATATTTTAGTAATTACTTAACTATATTTAGAAAATAGAATAAACATTCTTTCATTGAAGTTCAATCTCCATTAGTCCTTTTCACAGTAGAGTAATAGCAGTCTCAGTTAAACAGTCAATATCTCTTCTTATACATAATATTCATTTATTTATAAGCTCTACAGTATCCCATTATCTCATGGGATAATGCAGGTTGCCTCTCTAATATATGCCTGCACCTTAAAGTAAGAGCTTCTCATTTTGTGTTGGTGATTTCATCTGTGCTTTACAAGTTTAATGCATAGTATGGTTTTTTTCCTTCCTTCCTGGCTCTAGTTTTGGACCAATTGAATACAAAGGCCCCTTGCGTGCTGTTTACATTGAGAAGTTTGTTCGACGGGTGATGACGCCACTTCTCTACATCCCCGCTCGGTCAGAATTACTAGATTTTCTCTCAAATTATGAGGTATCTATTTCAAATTGATTTTTTCCTCTCTAATTTCAAAAGTCGTTACTTTCTCTTATTTGTTACAAAATAATGATGTCTGTTCATAGTTCCTGTTTTGCAGTGGTTAGAAAATACAACTGCATTCAGAATAGATAAACAAAACCCCATTTAGATAATTCCAGAAGTGCTAATTTTTGAGACTTTCTTCCAATGCTAAACTTTTTGGTGTTTCATAATAGAATAGTAGTAAAATCTCATCAGAATTTATTTCTGACTTTAA